CGCCGGCCTCTGACGCCTCCGCGTCGCTGCCCATGTCGAGGCTGGCGAAGAGGGAACACTCGGCCTCCTCGGAGACCGGCGGCGCTGCGCGTGCGTCGGTCGCCCCCTCCCACCACATGCGGCCCGCCCCGTAGCAGATGCACAGCTCGTCCCCCGGCGAGATCGCGCGCACGGTCCGGTACCGAATGCAATGCGCACGCCGGTCCAGCTCGTACGACACGTTCGCGGACGTCGGATGATGGTTGAAAAGGGAGCCTGCGGTCAGCATGCGCGGTTGCAGACGCACCGAGCCCCAGGGCGAGAGCCATTGTATTCCCCTGCGTGCTCTTCTCCCACACGAACGTGTAGGAGTCGAGGGCTGTGTGCCGTCCGTGCGCCGCGTATTCATCCGCAGAGAAGAGGAGCACAGGGCTAATCTCCACGACCGTGTTCGCCGGGATTGCTGTCGTTGCAAATACGCCGCGACCCGCGGTCGGCGTGTCGCGGATAGACAACCTATGCACATTCAGGTGCGGCGTGCTGGGCTTCGGCGCACCGCGGGCGGGCGTCGCTGACGCATGTTGCATGCCGTTCGCCAGGGGGCGAATTAGGTAGAAGTCGCGCATTTTGCACATTTATCCCCGATCGGCCGGGTCCGACCGCTGCGCTCCCAAAACCATGTCGGCACAGCTAAAGAGCACGCCTACTGTGCAGGTGGCGGTCCACGGTGTGCGGGGAAGAAGCGGACCTGTGGTCCAGCGCATGCACGCTCGTGCCATGGCACACCGGTCGGGCGGGTCTGTTTCCCGCAAGCCGGGTGACGCAGGAACTACGAAGACGGGGCGCTCAGACGACGCACGGACGGGAGATGACGCGTCGCAGCGCGCTTCTGTCCCGTCGCCGGCGGACCGCGGAAGCACTTCGAGCGTGGAAGAGCGCGACCGTGCCATCCAAGAGCGCCTCCTCGAGCGTGAGGGAGGGGGGCATGCCGTTGGGACTGTCGACGGGCAGTACGAAGGGGGGCTTGGGAAGGAGTCGAAGAAGAACTTGTTCCGGCTTATTTGAGGGGGTGAAAGGGTGAGGCAAGGAGCACGGGATGCGGGCGATAAGGAACTAAGGGAAGGGGCGGAGAGGATGCGCATCTGGAGAGCGCTGGGGAGGGCGTAGGGCGGCGCCTTCAGGCAGGCATTGGGCGGTGTGTAGCGGACCGCAATTTGGGTGGCAAAGTGGCACCTAATGTATATTTGATGCGAGTACATAGGAAGCATCCGTTGCTAGTGGCACCTCTGTGCTTGAGGGGGGGTATGGGGTGGGGGGAAAGCGAGGCTACACGAAGAGACTCCCATCCTGGCGGTTGTGGTGCGCTCGCTGTATTCGATGCGACACAAATGTCCTCACTATTTCGCCGCCTGTGGCGCGCCCTATTTTGTGTGTCACCCATCACCACTCCCACCTACACAGTGTTCTGCCGGTTCGCATCGTAAATCGGCACAATGTTCGCCGGATCTGGCGTCTCTGCACTGTCCGTGTCTTCCGATTCGTCCGTCTCATCCGCTTGCGGGGCGCTGTGGTGCCGCTTCGCACCGAAGCGCGTGCGTCCCATGCGGAGTCGCGATGGCGGGATGCGCGAAGCGAATGCAACCCGGCGTCGTGGACGCCGATGGGCCGAGCGCTCGGGTGGCGATGCTGCGCGCTGTGGCCGCTGGCCAGAGGTCCCCGGCTGGGGAATCGGCGCGTCATCCTGTATCCCCGTACGCTGGCCGCGCGACGCGGAGGGCCGCCGCGCACGCAGGGCGCCGCGTATGCCTTGCGGCGGGCTTGGAGGCGTCTCGCCGTGCTGTAGGGGAGACGGAGGGGAGCCCGTTTTTGCTGCTGCGCGTGGAGAAGAGGGCAGAGGAGAGCGCGTTCCTGCCGCCGCGTATTGGGGGGGAGGCCAGAAATGCGTTCCTGCCGCCTCCGTTCCTGCTGCCGCACGTTGAGGGGATGGCTGGAAATCCGTTCCCTCCTCCGCTCCTGTCGACGAGCGCTGAGGGAAAGGCCGGAGGTTCGTTTCCGCCTCCGTTCCTGCCGCCGTACGCTGAGGGGAAGGCCGGAGATCCGCTCCCGATTCCGCTCCCGCTGCCTCCGTTCCTGTCGCCGGCTGCAACCGGCCCGCGGAATACCCGCTCCATGAGGCGTCGAGCGCCTTGGCGGCCCGTCCCTGCGGTGGCCGTTCAGTCCCGTCTGCGCGGGGTGACGGCCGGCCGCTGGTGTCCCCCCCACGATTCATCTCTTTCATACGCTTCGCCAGCTTGTGCAGGGCCCCCGAAACCCAGAGCTCTTCCATGTTCGGCTCGAAGATTTGCTTGTGGTGCTCGGAACCCAGCGCGCGTTCCAGGGACTCGCTGTGGCGAGAAAGCCACCATTCGAAGGGGTGCTCCTTCCCCGCGAGTTCGTGATGGTCCTTCTCCGAGACGGGAAAGACCAACGTGTCCACGTCAGCGCCAGGACTCGCCTGGTACTCGATGACAATATTATGTCCTTCCGACCACTGGTACACGTGTGGGTACTTTTCCTCCTTCTGCTCCTGCTCCCGCACGCTCGCCTTCTCAGACTGGTCATCGTCGTGCGCGTGCCGGCCTGCCTCTAGATCTGGCGCCGCATGCGCGGAAAAGTCGCCGTGCTCCGGCGATTCGCTGCGGAGCGGGTGGTCACCGATGTCCTTCTCCTCCACGTGCCCCCCCGCCCTGTTCCGCGACTGCCTCGCACGGTGCTGGCGCGCCTCCTTCGTGTCCTCGCCGCCCCAGTCCGAGTTCCACGAGTAGACGCTCTCCTCGTCGTCCGGCTGTCCGTACGGCTGGTCGCTCGTCATCATGGGGCGTGCACTGTCGGCGCGGTCGCTGCCCGGCGACGGCAGTTCGTCTTCGTGCGTGCGCTGCTCCTCTTCGTGCGCGTGACCCTTTCCACTCTCGCTATCGTCGTTGCTCAGTTCCTTCTCGTGGTCGTCGCCGCCCGCGCCCTTCATCATAGCCTGTACAACGGACGTTGCGGGCCGCTGTGCCCCGTCCTCCGTGCCCCCCTGCAGGCGCCTTACGCCGCTCATCCATGCGGGCTCGTCGCCGGGCGTGACAAAACTCGACTGCGTCGTGAAGGTGCGCGCGAGGTTGACGTGAGCACGGCGGCCGAACGCAAAGAACGGAACAGTGAATCCATGCACAATGACAGAGGAAAGAACGAAGAAGTACACGATTGGTTCAATTGTGAGGGTGAGGACGTCGTTCGTAGACTGCGGGGGTATGCTCACCTGCTCCGGGAGGAGCAGGCGGCCGAGCGTGCACATGAAGATCGCGCCGACACCCATGGGGCCAAAGTACCCGGAGAAGAGCGCTTCGTGGAACGTCTTGATGTCCGGGATGAACTTCCACAGTGCGATCACGATGGGGATGCGCTTCAGCAGGAGCACGAGAATGCTCAGCACAATGAGCCGCCACACGCTCAGATTGATCGTCTGGTCGTTGAACGAGTGCCACGGCATCTGCGTGCCGATGTAGATGAACACCGCAATGTTGAACACAAGGTCCACGATGTTCGAGAAGTTCGAGTCCGCCGTCTGCTGCTGGAACCAGCCGCTGCGGGTGAGCCAAGTCCGCATGTGACGTACTCCCATGCAAACGCCGTGCCACATGCGAAAGCCGCGAGCAGATCGTCGCTGCCGATAAGCGTATTCACCCCCATGCTCGCCAGCGCGAGGCACAGGTACTGCACGACGAAACTCTCGCGATCAACGAGCTTCTTCCGCTCACTGTACTTGATCATCTTCCGCGTCACAAACCCGATCATCGCGCCGATCGTCGTCCCGAGGCAGATTTCCCACGCCCACGTAAGATAGAACCACTTGCCGACGGGGAACGCAATCTGCCCACGGTTGACAGTGAGGTAGTACGCCAGGTACAAAAACGGGAACGCAGCACCATCGTTGCACCCGGACTCGCACTGGAGCAGGTGTCGAATGTGCGTCGGCACATGCCGCTCAGCCCAGGGCCCACCGACGACCGCCTGAGCAAGAATCGGATCTGTTGGCGACACACAGGAGGCGATGACGAGGCTGGCATAAGCTGCGTCCGTCCACATGCACACCTGTTCAGGAAGTCGAGCCCGGGGATGAGTGCCCATATGAGCATCGCAGAAATAAGCCATCCCCAGAGCATGACGGGCCCCAGAAGCATGCCGATGGAGCGCCAGTGCCGCCAGACATACTTTTTCGGCAGCTGCACATGAGTGGGAGACGCGGCCGCTGCGCACCTCGACGCCCACGGAAAACACGGAAAGCGCAATGCACACGCGCATCACTTCGAGCGTCACCTCTTTGATCACCTCGCTCCCGGTGGGACTCTGCGGATTGCCACCCCAGCTGGACGGCTCGACAATTTTCGCTGCGACAGGACCTGCCGGTCAGCACAGTCGTTTTGCGCCGACGAACCAACGATAATCCCAAATACAAGAGCAATAGGTGCCTCGCCCAGGTATAAGCGCTCCTTGATGAACATGGAAAACATGCTAAACTGTCGTCAGAGAGGCCTTCAGGAGCGCCCGCGTACCACCACAATGAAGAGACCGACCGCGACATAAATGATGTGCGGCGCCGATATCTCCACGGGATTGAAATGGTGCTGCTGTCCATCCAGCGCTTCTCCCATGATAGGCCCGCTGCGATGGACGTGAGGCGTCCGCAGAGCCTCGCCTGGCAAAAACGCTCTTAGAAAAGCAGTATTTGTCACGCCGGAAGCGACAGCCCCCTGAATGCCAAGCCGTGCGCAGCAGCTAGCCACACGTTGTTGTAGGGCGATGGCTGACACTGAATTGCAGACCGCCCGCTTAGCTCAGTGGTAGAGCGCGTCACTAGTACCTCCCACGTTCGTGGACGCCGTCCGGTATGACGAGGTCGGTTGTTCGATCCAGCCAGTGGGCACACTCTTTTTGGTGTTCGCGGCACGCTGTGCGGACCCTGAAAGGCACGGCCAGCACCGTGTATGCATGATGACGCCCGCTTAGCTCAGTGGTAGAGCGCGTCACTAGTACCTCCCGCGTTTGTGGACGCCATCCGGCATGACGAGGTCGGTTGTTCGATCCAGCCAGCGGGCACGTTATTTTTCCGCCTCTGGGTTCTTCCAGCGCACCAGCGGGCTCTGGTGCGTGTCATTTCATTGTCTCGCAGCATAGGGCGGTGGTGTGCTACTGGCGAGGCGTTGCAATCACTACTTTTTAACGCCCGCACATATCTGACGGGGAGGGGGGCGTCCTGCTCGCGCATCACCCTGCCTGACTGAAGATCGACCCAACGTATCCAACCACTCGCGCGGAAAGCTGCAAAAAGGCCCGCGTCAGCGTTCTGTTCCCACAAGCGGCTGCATCATTAGCCGTGCACAACACACATTTGCAATGCGGGACCCCAGCGACGATGCGACCCAGCCATCCTGCTTTTTTTTCCGCTGTACCATGAGCAGAGATGTCCACAAATCGCGTTGCTCACCTTGACGCCCATCCCTGGGGCGCCCGTTCGGTCCTCCGTCATTGTTTCCGCGTGCGCCTCCGCCGTTTCGCACGACTGAGATCGTGCCCGTCTCTTACCCAATACCATGTCATTCCCTGTACCGAGCCGAACGGCATTCGCCGGGTCCGCCGGGTGTGTTGCGCGCTTGCGGCTTTCGAGGGCTTTGATCCGGACCAGCATCGTCTCGATCTCCCGCTCTTTGGCGCTCAATGCAGATACGGACCTCGGCTCCTCGTTGCCCCTCTTCACAGTGCGCACACTGCGGTCTCGCATCACGTGGGGCTGAGCGGAGTCAGAGACTCGACGCGATGCTTCAGCGTCGTCGGATGAATGTGGCTGTGCTTCATTGCGCAAGTGAGACTCCTCGTCCTCTTCCGCGTCCTCATCGTCGGATATTTGGATGATCAGCGAGTCCCATCGTCGCTCATCCACAAAGCTGAGAGGAGCTCTTCTCTTCTCATAACTCCGGCGCGTGCCGCCGCTCTCTTTCTGGCGCGGTGCCCAGCTCCGACCGGGGCTCGCGTATTCATGATCATCAGAGACCGTAGTATACGATGTCCTCATCCATTTGGCGCTCTCCAGCGACGCCGGCGGAGTGACAGGTGGGGCGCTGTGTTCGTCCGCGTAGGAAACGCGGCGGCGGCTCGCGCGAGCGTCCATTTCACGTGCGTCCATGGGCATGCTGTCATACGCCATGGTCACAGGCGTGTCGATGCCACCCTCCGGTGCATCCACATCCCTGTACGCGCTCCGCTGCGGCAGCTTCGGCTTCGCCGGGCGCCGCGGTAAGCGTGCGGGGACCAGCGGAAGGGTGGGAAGCGATGACGGTCCAGCGAGTGTTCCTGAGCTGCCTCCCGCCGCAGCATCCACGTGCATCCACGGCTGAACCAGGGCCGCTGGGCTGCATGTGTCCTGCCGTGCGTGGGCGACAGGCAAAACATCAGCTGGTGCAGCAACAACTGAGTGCGGCACAACGACAGAAACCGGAGGCGTTGGCACCGCCAGCGCCGGCTGGCACGCGCTACGTCCCTTTGCCTTCAGCGTTTGTAGCGCCGCAAGACGCAGAAAGTCTTGGTTGTTCCTCGGCGGCTCGCATGGTGACCCCCCGCGACCTGAGAGCAGCGTCGCTGACGCCGATGTCTCAACTGTGGCGGTGTGCGGGTAGCCGTCTGCTGCACCTTGTTCCACGACAACGGCCCCATCTAGAGGCCTCTGAACGCAGCCACCAGTCACAGAACCGGAGCCCTGTGGCGAGTTATGCATGGTCCCACCGAAGCCGATCTCAAGCGACGGGCTGTTGTCAACAGATAGGGACAGGTCGTCGGACCCTCGTCCCAACATGCTTTTGCCAGGTCGGTGATGTCACGTGCGTTTCGGGCTGCACACCGGCAGCGACGCTTCTTATCGCGAACTACTGCGACGATTGCCCAGCATGGTGCGGATCGAAGAAGTTCCGGACGAGTCGCAGAAGTTCAAGCAGGCTGATCTCCATGCGGACCCGGCGGACGATGAGCGTGACTGGGAGGCTACGGACGACGACACGGACGAGGTGCGTGTTAACCGTGGCAATTTTACACGGCTTCTAACCGACTAGGACGACGTTTCCGACGATGAGGACCTCGTGTACGAGCGCGGCCTCGTTGTGCCACGCGAGTCTCTGTGGGACCGTTTTGCAGCGCTGAAGGATATTCTGAGCCCCTCCACGCGCACCACGCTTGCGAGGACGTGGCACAAGACGTGCACCTACTCCGTCTTTGGTGGTTGGGTTGCTGGCAAGCTGATTTGGATTGGCGTCACGTCCGCGCTCTTGGTTGGCCTTCCATTTGCTCTGGCTGTGGAGGATGAGAGCCGCCTCACCGCGCAGGAGAAGGAGTTGATGGGACAGCAGAATCCGCAGCAGATGCTTCCTCCCGGAACTGACGCGGCGCAGAATGCGCAGCCGAACATGGTCCCTGGCGGGCAGCCACAGGGCCTCCGCCCGCCCGGGTTCTAATGTGCGGCACCAGCCGAGCCTCTTGCGCACTTGGGGCAACGTAGTGCACGGGACTCTTGCGACACCTGCGTTTGGTGGGGCAGTAGCCGTAACAGCGAGCTTCGTACGAGAATATACTCCGTTTCACCCTGCAGTCTGTTGTGTACTGCTTGCAGGAAAAAAAACCATCGACGATCTGCGTGGCGCAGCAGATATTGTATGTGTACAGTGCTCGTGACCTTCTATAATACACCAAGTATATAGTCCGCTGAGCGATGCTGTGGTGCGGCCTTTTTCTTTTGGCGGATAACACCAGCTCGTCCACTAGGCATGGATCTTTCTCCGTTTTCAGCTTGTTCCAGCGGTCCATGGGCCAGTTTGTTACCGCGACTCGGTCAGCATGGTTAAAAAGTATGGTCCTGTATGGGTCCCAGTCCCGTGCAATGGGTGAGACGGGTATTTGTATCGTACATCTGTCCCTGCAGTGTATTGCGAATGGACCACCCTGGTGCCTTCACTTGCTCGATCCGCTCTGCGATGCAGAATCCGGCGTAGCCGCAGCGGTCGCAGCGGTCGCAGCCGTCTTGGGCGTTTCGGCGGTCTCGGTGTGGGAGGTGGCCGTATTCAGCGAGGTGCTTTGGCTTGTCTGTTCCACGTGCGGATGCGCCTCCGCAGCAGCAAGCGCCTGCCGCATGTACGTCCAATCTGTCGAGAGCTTCAGCAGATTCGTCTCGTCCAGCAGCGACATGCGGTAACGGATGAAGCGGTGGTCAAAGTCGTCCAGCACAGCCTCTTCATCGCCCTCCATTCCACCAAGGCCGAGCAGCCCAAGCCCAGCCCATCTTCCAGCATCGTCGTCATACCGCCAGCGCTCCGCCAGTCTCTGTACGCGCTCGGTCTGTTCCTCCTGCGACTCCTCCTGCGACTCCGAGCCATACCCATCGACATCCACCTTATCGTCGTGCATAGTATCTTGCTCCACATCTGTCGCTTGGGTGCTTTGATCATCGTTCGTTTCCTCCGACGCACGCGAGCGCTCCGAAGACTGCGACGACGAGCTCGATGCATCCTCGTTGTGCGAAGACGCATGCTCTTTGTTGTGGCCCTCGCGCCCAAATTTGGTGTCGCTCAGCGACGAGGGGGAGGCGCGCGAGTCCTTTGCGTTGTGCGGATCCAGCCCGAGATCTGGCGTCGGAAGAAGCATCGGCTTCACGCGCGCAGAGTACACGAAAGGTGCATACGAGCGGAGCGCATCAGAGTGACTCGGTCCGAGCGTCGCCGCTGGGTTCCCAGCATCGCCGCGCAAATCGGCTTCGCGGCCATGGCTGAACGTAGCCTGCGACATACCACTCTTAGTTTCCCGTGGCCATGCACCAATGTTGGCCGGCGCAGGGCTCGCGACAAGGGGGCGACGGTCCAAGAACACGCGACCACCGCGCCCGACTCGGCGACGGAAGCAGGGCTGGCGGCCGAGGCGGGCGAACGGATGGTTCGACCAAAACCGCGTGTCGCTGTTGTCCGACTGGATCGGCCGAAACGCGCGCTGAGAGGGCGGGGCGGCAGGCGGCTGGAACGCGGAGTCCGTAAGATCTTCGACGCCCGCGTCTGCCTGCTGTCTCCACATGCACTCGCGCTCGATGTACGCTTGGACCGTCTGCACGCGCTCCAAGATCGCTGTGCCGATGCCCTTGCTTGCCGACTCTGCCGCCCCCGTTTTCCCCGCAGACATCACCGCGTCGGCGTCGCCCAGTTTCGGACGACGGATCTTGAGGGTCGTCGCGGCGGCGGCACCTTCGTCCGCTTTGCGCTTCTTTTTAAGTAGCTGCGCAGCAGGAGACGACACTGTGGGTATGGGCGCCGTTGGGTCCGGTTGTATGCCAAACATAAGGTCATCGTCTTCCTGACTCTTGGCTCCCGGAATGCCCCACTGGCGCCTGAGATCCATCAACTCGCGTGCCTGCTTCCAGCACGCTTGCGCCTTGTGAATCTGGTCTTCCTTCAGACGCTCGCGCTGTGCGACGAGGGTGGCCAGGGTCGTTGCCTGTTGCAGCTCTGCCTCTAGGCGAACGAGCCTTTCCAACTGCAGCGTGTCGGTTTTGCGCGTTTTACGCGCACTTTTTGCTTCACGGCGGCGGAAGCAGACGTAAGGGTCGTTTTCATTGCTTTCGTCAAAGTTCAGCAGTGGCACAAGAGGCTTTCCCTCCCGTGCCTGCCGGCGCAATTTCCACCACGGATAAACCACCTGCGCGTACGGCTTCAGTAGCTGGAGGTTCTTGAACGGGTTCTCTGGCGACCAGGCCGCCTCGGCGTCCTGCCGCTTGCTCCCTGTGGATGTCCTGCTGCCCGGCTTTCCATTGCCCGGTTTTGTGCTCACGGCGCCGTTTTCGGATGCGAGGGGCGGCAGTTCGGCATAGGCCATCGCGCTGGTCGCAGAGCGCTGGTCGAACTCGGGGAGAAGCTCCTCAAGGCGCGGCAGTTTGGACATATCCAGTTCCAGCAGAGGGTGGCGCTCGGACGTTGCCTGTTCAAAGACATACATCACTGTTTCCAGCTCATCCTCTGTCATGGTGAGGTATTTCTCCGGACACTGCTTCGCGAGACCAGCCTCCGAGAGTTCCT